CTGCTTCTGAGGATAAGTTCATCCGAGTCACCAGCCTCAGAAATCGCAAGTTAACAGCAGCTCAGATCAGAGACCAGATGAATGCCACACAGAGTTCTAGCAGCAGACCCATCTCTAGAACAACTGTTAAGAGGAGACTGTGCCAATCAGGCCTTCATGGTCAAATAGCTGCTAGGAAACCACTGCTAAGGAGAGGCAACAAGCAGAAGAGATTTGTTTGGGCCAAGAAACACAAGGAATGGACATTAGACCAGTGGAAATCTGTGCTTTGGTCTGATGAGTCCAAATTTGAGATCTTTGGTTCCAACCGCCGTGTCTTTGTGAGACGCAGAAAAGGTGAACGGATGGATTCCACATGCCTGGTTCCCACTGTGAAGCATGGAGGAGGAGGTATGATGGTGTGGGGGTGTTTTGCTGGTGACACTGTTGGGGATTTATTCAAAATTGAAGGCACACTGAACCAGCATGGCTACCACAGCATCCTGCAGCGACATGCCATCCCATCTGGTTTGCGTTTAGTTGGACGATCATTTATTTTTCAACAGGACAATGACCCCAAACACACCTCCAGGCTGTGTAAGGGCTATTTGACCAAGAAGGAGAGTGATGGAGTGCTGCGGCAGATGACCTGGCCTCCACAGTCACCGGACCTGAACCCAATCGAGATGGTTTGGGGTGAGCTGGACCGCAGAGTGAAGGCAAAGGGGCCAACAAGTGCTAAACACCTCTGGGAACTCCTTCAAGACTGTTGGAAAACCATTTCAGGTGACTACCTCTTGAAGCTCATGGAGAGAATGCCAAGAGTGTGCAAAGCAGTAATCAGAGCAAAGGGTGGCTATTTTGAAGAAACTAGAATATAAAACATGTTTTCAGTTATTTCACCTTTTTTTGTTAAGTACATAACTCCACATGTGTTCATTCATAGTTTTGATGCCTTCAGTGAGAATCTACAATATAAATAGTCATGAAAATAAAGAAAACGCATTGAATGAGAAGGTGTGTCCAAACTTTTGGCCTGTACTGTACATTAGAACGTTTTCATACAGAAAGCATTTGTCTTTTATAAAGGACCTTTTTAGTAATCGCAGAATTGTAGTTCTCATCCATATTTTTATTTTTCGTATAAAAAAAAATCCGACTAGCCGACTGCGGACTCCTCAATGGAACGAATCAATCATCTCCATGTTCTGTGATAGCGCGCCAGCTATTTGGCCTGATTTTACTGCACGTGTTGTACCCCAAGCATATGACGTGATATGATCTCTCCTTTTAACCTCCTTGCACATCTCATGAACAGATGTGCTTCCATTTTATTAACTGTATCAATCCACGCTGACTCTGTGAGACACACATCTCACGAAGACCCCCTGTGTTTTTAATCTCACAAATGCCCAGCTGTACATGCGTTTTGAACTTAGATTTTTGATGTCTTTATTTCGTAGGGGCCCACAGCATATGTCTTGACTTTAGAGCAGAACCGCTACCTGATCTGGAATCCCAGCAGTGGTCAGTACTACGGACAGTATGACACCTTCTGCCCGCTGCAAACAGTTGGCTGCCTGGTTAATGCTGAAAATGTGAGTGAAGAGAGAGCAACTGTATGACATCAGATCATTTCCTTTAGATTGCAGCAGATTATATAACTTTATCCAAATTTTACTTTAGGTGTGGTTTAACATTCAAGAGTATACGTCACCGATGACGATGAGTTTTGACATCAGTAAAGCCCATCTGTGGAAGCCGTTTTTCTCCCGATCCTTCTCCGACCCTGGGCTGTCCAGTGTACAAGTGAGTGTTCAACACAAATTTATAACCTTGATATATGTTCAGTAATAATTTTTACATATTTTGTTAAATCTAATTCTCTTTAGGTAGAGGAGCTGGCATATCGGCGCACAGACAGAGCAGCTGCAGCAGAGCTTCAGGACAGGCGAGTTAACACTGTGTCATATTGATTTGATGGGCTACAATTACACACTAGACAAAACTCATTTAACAGCTCCCTCTCTGTAGAATTGAGAAGATCCTGAAGGAGAAGATCATGGAGTGGCGACCTCGTCACCCAACCCGCTGGAATCGCTACTGCACCAACACCCTGAAACAGTTCCTGCCCAAACTGGAGCTGAGCAGGGGGCGGGACATGGCTGAGGGGCACCGCCACGAGCTGCAGAGCCTGCTGGGAGACAACAGGGTAAGTGTGACATGGGAACGCCTGGAAAGAACTTACTCGACTGAGTCACTGCATGATGTCATCAGTCATCAATCTGTTGTTTCAATTATAGAATATTCTCCGCTTTGAAAAAGAAAGCTGGCTGAACACAGGGTGTCACATTAATAAAATCCTCTCATAAATAACCAATGGGCTTTTTTTTGTTTTTAGATTTCAGGATTCCCCCTGAATCTGCCTTTTTCTGAGATCCGGCCCATCATAGAGGCGGTGTACAGCACTGGAGTTCACAATGTTCACGCATCCAATGTGGAGTTTGCCTTGGCAGTGTATGTGCACCCCTACCCTAATAATGTCCTGTCTGTGTGGGTGTACCTGGCCTCGCTGGTGCGTACATGATACAAGAGACACTCATCTCACTGTGGATCACTGTGCCTCACTGCTTTTGTATAGAAATGTGCTAAAGCTTTATTTAAGCTGACGACTTTATGTAATCACATGACTCACACACTGTTTTTACACTATTGTAAATCTAATGTATATAATGGATATCAAGTAAAGAAGTTATCAGTTTTATATCTGTACATCAGATCCAATACAATTTAATAACTTTGTATTAAATCCCAATTTTCTGGACTTTATAGTGCTCACTTGTTGTTGACTCTGAGAGCAGCCATTTTTGAGGCACTAGCTCGTGGTGCTGTTGTATTTGACTTTATTGTGCTCAGCATTTAATTACCTGTGCCAAGGAGGTTATGTTTTCGCCAGCGGTGTCTGTTTGTTTGCAAAATAACTCAAAAAGTTCTGAATGGATTTTGATGAAATGGTTGATAATGGGACAAGGAACAGATGATAAAATTTTGGTGGTGATCGGTTGAAGCTAAGTGGACAAAAAATAATAAAATGGTGGGAAATCCGAGCTGCTTGGCAGAGGTCTGCGCTCTCTGAGTGTTCTAGTTAATTTATGTTAACATATATGAAAGAGCCGGACAGTAACAGGGTTCCTACAGGTTAAGGCACGTTGGATTTAAGACTTTTTTGATGCCACTGGGAATAAAACTTAAGACCAATTTAACGAAAACTTAAATTTAAAAAATAAAAAAATAAAATGGGGGTTATGGACAAATTTGCCCAAATGATTATTGTAACATAAAACATTGTTTTTGTTGGTTCCACTTACCTGATCTGCCTGATGTTTTTTGCATTTTGGAAATTAATTAAAAACAAAAAAGATGTTAGCAATGCAACATAAGAAAAAAGGATTCCTAGAATTCCACTTTTCATGTCCTAAACATTTTAAGACCTCTAAAAGATTGATTTAAGACACTTTAACCATTTAAGGCCTTATTTTTAGATTAATGAATTTAATGCCTTATAAGACTTCTTGAGTATCCATAGTAACCGTGTAGTTAGAATATGTAGAAATGCCTTGCACTAAAATCTAACGCCATTGACAAAAACGGCCTAAAATCTAAAATACAGTAATAAATTAGCACCAACAAGAAGTCTTCCGTAATTAAGTGCTAGCTCAATATTCAGGGCTCACAAAATATGTTTCCTGATATTATTTTTTAAATGTGTTGCCAAGGTTATTATAGACTATATTATAAACTAAAAAAAGCTGAAATTAGGTGTGAAGAAAACATTTTAGATAACTGAAATATAAAGTAGACTTAAGAAAAAAAACAAAAACCGAAACAACTTTGTGTACTTGCAAAACTAACTAAAATAAAATAAAAATATACAGGAAATGTATTTAGTTTTAGTCTTTGTCAATTTGGTCGAATTAACAAACACAACAAACATGAGGAGGCATTGGTGCATATGTTTACAGACACTGGAATGGCTACATGGCTGTCAGTCAGCTGCCTTCACAAAGTGTTGTATTTGTACTGTAATACCTATTCTGAACTTCTTAAATTTTGCCCCAGACAAACACTTGTCATCATAATAAAATTAGAATTGCTCACGCTTGTATGCCCCCGCAAACATCCAAACTTACATGTAGCCATGACAGTTGACACTGCTTCAAATATGAACGGTGCCATTAAGAAGCTACATATTCTGAAGCACAGATCTATACAATCAGCAGTTTCAAGATTTGTGTCACCAATTCAGTATCTTCCCTTCTGTTCCTGAGTGCTGGTTTTGAGTAATAGCCTAAAACGTGTTTTGGCAGAACAATCTAATGTCACAGGCAAGTTGACAGTTTGTCTTAATTAGCACATGAATTCTTGAGTTATGGCCAAAAATAGGTTTTATGAGGTCACACTAACCTTTGTCCACTAAAATCTTATCACTTCATTGTTGAGTTCAAGTGGACGTTTCTGCCAAGTTTCAAGAAATTCCTTCAAGGCATTCTGTAGATGGCGCGTTCGTGAGAATGAGATAGGCACAAGTTCACAGTGACCTTGACCTTTGACCAGCAAAATCTAATCAGTTCATCCTTGAGTCCAAGTGGATGTTTGTGCCTAATTTGAAGAAATTATCTGGAGTGTGAGATACTAGTTCACGTGAATGGTACAGACAGATGGACAACCCAAACCCAAAAACATAATGTCTTTGGCCATGGCTGGTACCGGTGTAGAGGCATAAAATAAAACTTCTACTGAAACTAATAAAAATATAAACTAAAACTACACATTTTAAAACAACTAAAAACTTGATCAACAGACTAAACCAACTCTGGAAATGAATTGAAACAAAAATAAAAACTAATGAAAAGCACAAATCAACTCTGGCTGAGACACTGAAACGTCACACTTGCAAACTTTTCGATTTCTAAATATCTTAACCATGTTCACAAAGTAATTAAAACAACCAATAACAGAGCTTTTAACCCCAAGATACTTTTATTGTTCTGTTTATGAATTGAACATTTTCAATAGAACTCCTCATGCAAGACTTTGAACAAGGAAATGCATCCTGCTGCAGAACGATTAAAGATGAAGTACAATCTATTGAAAACTGACAGAGTAAGCTTCTCCCAATCTGAGGGTAATTATTCTTAATCTCCTTTCAGCTCCTCTAAAAGCCTCATCAGTGCTGGGCGTATCCAGAACCCTCTTATATGAACATTGGTCCGTTTTTTCCCACACTGGCGTGCATGAAGAAAAACTAAAGCTTGTTTTGATGACTATGAACATCTGGTATCACAAAGTTGGACAAAATGATAAGACTACATTGTAACATCATGTGCCAATCCATATGTCTGTACATCCTTTACTGGTGACTCTGTAACTTAATGGTTGCTGTGTAAGCATCAAATGGACATCAAAGTGAGGGACGTCCTCCATGTACAGTGGGACTATATTCATTCTGACCTGTAACTGTCAACAACGTGACAGCTTCAGTCTACAGGAGAACCAGCAATGAAATCACATTACCCTCTCAGATAGATGATAAAGCTTGTTTAATTGATGCTGATGATGTCAGTCTACACTATGCTGATTATAGATGGATGAACTAAACACAGCAGGGGGGAGAAGACTTATAAATCAGTATAGTTTTAGTGACAAAGGAAAACTGGTGTAACTACAGAAAACACAAAGTACTTGGTGTTTACTCTTCCCTAGCTTTTTTTTTGTCTTTTTTAATTTTTCAAACCAAAAAAAGGAACCAGAATGTACATTTTCAGACACTTCAAATCCATCATCACTCCTTTACGTTTTCTTTTTCGAAAAGATTATTTCCATTTAATATAGATGGAAAAGGGAAGTAACGGGAGCAAATTTACAGTTTCATCCAGAAACTTTTTGAGTGACACAAAGTACAGCAACCGGTATTCCCAGGATAAAGTGCAATAAAAAGGGAGACGTGAAGTTTAAGGAGAGCGTTGCTTGGCAGGATCACTCTCCAGAGCGACAGCAGGCCCGGAAACCACACTGCAGGTTCTGGCAGCCGCTGGCCGTGTCTGCGTGAGGACCTGGACAGAAACACCACACAATGGTCACCTACTGAACTGCATGACATAGGACATACGAAATTGCTTGTGCATACCCTTACCCACACAATCCAAAGAGTGAATCATTACATTTACATTAAATAAATGAATAAGATGAAGTGAATTCTGACGGCATCGTGCTGGCTACTGTAATGCCTACTTACCTTCCACCTTAGTAGGATCTGTAACACTAGGACCCATGCTATGCAGGTGGGGTTAGGAATGTTTGTTACAGTTGCCACAAACTGCATCATGACATATTCACATCCAGTTTAAAGAAACAGCTATCTCCAAAGCACCTTACTTGTGTAACAGAATTAGAAATAACCTGTACAATTCATGTCTATGCTTGTCTATGCTATGTAGCATTGTAGAGCCACCTGGTGGCTTAATAGCACAACTGCATTGGTGGGGTTTCTCCTCATGCACCATACATGCCTCAGCAAAGGAAAATACTTGGTGCACGTGAGCAATGATGCTGTCCATATTTCTACATTTAATGCTTTCAAATTATTTTTGCAACTATGGGTAACATGCACTTTGACTGCTAACACTACTGGCATGTAATCTGAAAGTTACTAGCATGTACAGTTTTGTGTTTCAGTGGAAAAATGACCCCTAACATTTTCACTTTTGAGTGTTACCGTTGATGTTGTCGCAGTAATAAAAGTGCTCATCATTGAGGGAAGGACAGGCTGACACCAGCTCCTGCAGCCCCACCTCAGTGATGAAGAGGCAGCCAGACAGGTTGAGATGCTCCAGGAAAGGAAGCCCTCCACGCTGCGACAGAGCCCTGAAACACACACATGGTGCAACCTCATTACAGGTAGAGCAACCTGCACACCAGCAGTGAGAATGTATAGATAGACACTGATGATCCAGTCTTAAGCTAATAATGGATGCTGACTACAGCAAATGTAAAGCCTTCATCTAATAATCAGCATTTACTTAATAACTGATGGAAACATAATTTGATGAGTAAACCCGCATTTCTATTTTTATACTGCCATGTGAATAAACATTCACATCTGTCTATCTCACCAAAACTGTGTACATGAGTAAGGCTGCAGGGATAAGGAGTTTGCAAAGATAAGTGGCAGAGTGCTTGCACAACTGACCGCACCCACACAAGCTATTACACCACTTGTTTTCAACTGGCACTGAAAATAACTACATGTGCCACTTAGCTCTACACGTTGTTTTGAAACTGCAACCTGACAAAACGTTGGAATTTTTCAGCTGATCAAAGACGGCGTTCATCGTACTGCATCACATACATTTCTGAAGATACTAACCTTTCATATAAATCCATTTAAAGCCAGGTTTGTTTGGCCGTTTAAAGAGCAAAAGGAGTGTTTGGAAAAAGAGCAATGTATGATCTTTACCTCAAGCCCAAATCTGTCACTTGGTAACATCCAGAGAGACTGAGAAATTTCAGTGAGCGTTTTGCTGATTGGTCAGTCCTGTTTTCATGCTCCAGGCACTGCAGGCCCCCAAAGGAGGAGCATTTAGTCCGAAACTCTGCAGTGCTGCTTCTGGTGGTGCCTGACTCGCACTGAGGCCCAGAAAAAGTCCTGAGGGCCATGTCACTAGTGCAGCAGGTAGAGTGACCACAAAACATTTCCCCAGACATAGCATACTGCTGATGCAGATAGGAGGCATTTGAGCCAGTCCTGTGCCCACGCCTCCTGCTCCTCCTGCAGCAGCACGAGCCTCCCACGAGCTGTGTCTCTACAAAGCTTTCTGCTTCAGGGAGAGACATCACACCACGACGGCTCCACTCTGCAGCATCCTCAATATCTGCAGGGTCTGAGGGGTCCAGGACCCACACTGACGTGGGGGTGCAGGCAGCGCCCCAACGACCTGTCCCTGTCTTAAAAATGATGGCCTGCCTCTTCCGCACCACTGGATGTAGGCTTCTCTCGTCCATGAGCGTGATGGGTACTGGGGAACTTTTAAGAAGCTTGGCTCGCCGGTCTGAACGTTTGTCAACGCAGGTGGAGGATGTGAGGTCACCCAGCCCGATAGACAGTTTCTTCATGGTGTGATCAGTAATCTTCTCGCACCCTGACAAATCCAGGTGCTCCAGAGAGAGACAAGCTCCGAGAGACGACCAACTGTAAGAGGATAGCAAGGACAATGAGAAGAGTTTCCTGTAGTTAAAAAAAAGAATGGACCAGGGCTGGCCCTAGGCAAATTATATAATATTTTAGTAATGACTTTTAATATATTTACCTGTCAAATGCACAATCTGTAACATCAGTCTGAGTCAGGTCCAGGTGAGTAATATTGGGGCAGAAACTGAGCATCTGGCGCACCTGAGAAGAGGACATGACAGTTCAGACTTGACTCAGTCTTCATTATCGGGTATCGTCAATTTCAGTGTCAAAGTGAGAACTTCATACCATTTTACTCGAGACTGTGGAACTGTAGGCCAGAACAATGGACTTGACAGACGGACCCACCGCTGGCAGGAGGTTCTGGATAATCCCATTCAGAAGCCTCTTCTCTCGCTTAGCAGTGCTTATGGCCAGGGAGCCCTGTGTTTGGCCCGACACATCTTAAAAAAGACAATGAACAAGAACATTCTCAGTCTGTACAAGTCTGTTTAATCATCACCTTTAACAAACGGACTGCGAGGCACAACCTATGGCTTGCTCTATTTATTTACCTTTTTGCCAGAGTGCAGCTGGAGAGAAGGTGAATTAAGGTGACTGAATTCACGATAACAGCATGTAAGCAAATTTAGAGTGCCCTGCCTGAGGGTCCTGGGCAAATACATTTGGATTTTCTCACGCTTTACTTTAAATCCACGAGATAATCAAATATTAGAGATGTCAAAACCTCCCAGCCCATGCCTTTTGATACTAGTTTTTTAAATAAGTATATTTTAGTAGACTTTGAGGTGTCTAATCTGTTTATGACACAAACCTCTTTACATTTGACCAGTGTAAAAATCAGTGGACATTGTGTTTGTAAGGGCACACTTGTGATTTAATAGCTTTCCGACATGATCATCTTCAGTTAATAACATTGGCATGTACTTTGCTTATAACAAAACCTCACCAGACTCATCAACATCAGCATCCTCATCCCATTCCTGATAGGCCCGACCCTCATTCTGCCGACTCTTCACCCACTCCTCATCTGGCTCCTGGTCCAGATCCCCAGGGGGGCCGCTATAATAATCACCTACATTAGAGAGAAAAACATTTATTAGCAGAGGACCACCACTGCATAAATTAATGCAGGTCAAGTATTTTTTGCAGGGTACATTTAGCTAAGTAAGCAATATTTTGTTCTTTGAGGTAATCAACAGCTGTGAGCAGCCTACCTCTGGCCCAGCGCACAGGGTAGAGGTGCCTCCACAGAGAGCCGGTCTTGGCCAGGTCTGACCAAGAGCTGCACACTTGACTGCAGCGACACAGATCTTCAGGGCCCAAATAGTGGAACAGCCTCAGCATGATTTCTGTGGGAAGCTGGGAGATGTGGGTTGAAGAATTCTTGTTCTTTTCCAGTTCTGAGGAAGAGGACAAAACAGCTTTATTTGTCATCGACTTAAAAACTGAAATTATCAAATGCATATTTTATAAATGCAATTCGCTTTCCAAGACTATTTATCCTTTAATGAAACTAATGACTTAAGTAGTTTAGACCTTTTTGACATGTCACAATATAAAAGCACAGGTGTTAATGATAAAATTAAAGATGGCCGAAAGCCATTTACCTTGGTTGCCTTAGTTTCAAGGTCCTGCTTTTGTACATACTGTCTCACTGCCACAATGGCGTGGCTTACTGGGACACTTGACTAGGACAGAGCCATTGTTTATGCTATTATTAACACCTGAGCTTTTTTATGACAAGTTAAAATGTCATCTGTCGGAAAAAAGCTTATTATACTGCAAGTGCTAGACAATGTTGGGGCTTCAAATATATATTTCTTTATCCATCAGCCTTTTGAATTAGTTGTTTACTAATGAGGTCTAGCTTGTTTGCATAAAAAATAGTTATAACACATGTTCACTAACCATAATCTGTCTTCTCGTGGTCAGCATATTTAAAGGCTTTCTGCAGCTCCTCCGCCTGGCTCCACAAACTGAAGCCCTTCAGCACCTCAGCGGCACAATCCCATTGGTGTTGGTTGCAGTGTTGTGCTATCACCTGTTTCTTGATGTCCTTGAGTTCCTCGTAGGTGAAGTACTGCATAAGCATAGGCTGAAAGACCTGCAACGACTCTCCTTGGTTATAAACAGCTTGCAACAGTGTCATTCACAGGGGTATGAGCATACATGTTTTTGAAAATGTTTCCTTAGGGATTATTGTTCATGTCTTTTCCCTTTGTTGTTATGGAACACAATTTAGTCTTACCCATGCTTTAGGGAATCAATTAATCAAAAGATATTTATATTAACAGTAAATAGGAATTTGAACATCTTGTACCTCTTCTTCTTCCTTCATGTGGGGCAGAAAGTCTTGTGTGAAAGCCTCTAGTCTCTCCTTCAGTTGCTGGGCATAGTTAAGCTGCTCATATTCACTCTAAAAACACACAGCAATTATTAATTCATGGGATCTCTTAAACATGTCAGTTAAGACTTCTTCACAATCCTGTCTGCATCATCTAGCACATGTATTTTTTTTAATACATGGCACATACAATTCATGGCCTTGTCAGAGTCTCTTTAGGAAATGAGGAAAATTCAAAAAAGGTCATCCAGCTGAATACAAATAACTCAGCACAACATTATTGATATCAGTTGAAACATCTTTCCTCTAGGACAGTTCTCAACCCAAAGACACAGAATGTTCCTTTCTGTTTTACAAACTGTCTGGAGCAGAGCGGAAGTTAAGATTTACACAATTGCATCATTCTGGAAAGCCCATTTTTGGTTGGCCAATGGCTTGAGAGAGAACAATAACTCTTCTATCTTGTTAAGCAGGTCACAAAAACACAACCCCACCTTTCTTATACAAACCAGCACAATTCTTTCTCAGCTGACCTTTTCCTTATAAATAAATACAATTTCAAGTTGTATCATCACACAATAGTGACAAAAACTTAGAAAAATGGATGCTAAAACTTGTAAAGGGCTTTAAAAAAAAGTTGTATTTCAAAAGATACAGATTTATTTCCAATCTATACATTTAACATGTACATATGAAAATAACAGCTCTTCTGTTGTTGGTACTGCAATCTGGCTATGTGATATTTATTCTAATGACAGAGTGTTACCCCACCATTGAGCAACAACTATCAGCTAAGCTCTGCAGAGCTCATATGTGTTCATTTCAAGTAAAGCCTAGGTGCAATCTAGGGCCATGGCAGGACAATAAACTTTTCTATAATGCGTTGATGCATGTTTACCTTGACGTTGTGCAATCCTTTTTCAAAGAGGGACAACATCTCTGAGAGTTTGTTGTCAGAATGCACGTTGTACACAGTGCAGCAGCGCTGTTGCAACAGGCCGATGATGTACTCATTCTCGATTTGTTCGTGCATCTTGAACTCCTTAAAGGTGGCGCACAGTGACTGAAGAAATGAGCGGAAATCATTGTTGTTGGAGAAGTTGGTTTTTGACAACTGTGGAAATAAAACAAAGAAACAATCATTTATTATAAAATGTAATGTCATAAGTGTTTATAGTGATACCCATGTAATAAATAAAATAATTAGCACCTGCTGCAGTGTGACAGAGAATGTAATCTTAGACAGCTAATAACAATACTATACTGCACCATACTGTATTTTAACTTATACTAGATCAGTGGTTCCCAACTGGTCCAGCCCTGGGGTCCAGATTTGTCCCTAGTCATTAGTTCAAGGTCCACACAGTTTAACACCTCAGTATCATACTTGTGTTTGGACATGTTGTCGAGCTAGTTTGCTGTCTCTGTTAAGTAGCTGTCCATTTGTCACTCATGCTACAGCAGGAAACAGCACTTCAAAATAAAAGCTCTGTGCCAGAAAGTCACTGTAAATAAATGGACCTGCGATCCACTTTTGGACCACGACCGACCAGTTGGGAACCACTGTACTAGATTATATTATATTTATATTACTACTATTACATTGAACCTTTGACTATGTCTTATACCTCACATGTACTTGGGTACATCATACTATACTATGTACACATCGTACACTACATTTCTATTTTACTTTATTAATACAGACAACACTAAGTGATATTACTTAACCACAGCACACATTATTCTACTGTGTTGTTTACGTAACACTAGACCAGCTGTTATTAATCATACAGTATAACTTCATCTCATAATTTGCCACTTTAACTTGAATTGCCCTTGGATAATCCTTTTTTTCTACTCTTACACAAGTTGTACATGGCCTAGCTCTTATTTCATTTACTTATTTTGATTTCTCTGTGTATTTGTACTTCAGTATGTTTTAATGCTGCTGCAACACTTTGACTTTCCACTCAGGGCTTCTGTAACGCTACAGTGTCACGTAGCTCACGTTTGCACAACCGTCGTAATTACATGACGCTATCTACTGTCACTGAGTTTACCTGACTTGTCGAAATTTTAACATACAGCCTGAACGTCTCCAATGTTATAAAACAGTTGATGGAAACATGACAGACTGCTCTGAGATGCTTTAAGAATGTTGCATAACAAGGTATCTTGTAAATTGGTTAAGCTAACGTTAGCTAAAGCGGTTAGCAAGCCTTAGCTGTATATCGATAACGTTAAATATGTTTTCTTAAAAGTGCAACCCGATACGCATAAGTGCTGGATAAGCAAACACCTCCATGTTTGGCTAACTTCACGTTTATAAGTCTAACCTCGAAGCTATCAAACGGTCCCAATGTAGTCGTGAGGCGTGATAGTCCATCTGCTTCGACTGACTCAATCCTTACAGAAACAAGCTAACGCTAGCTGACGTGCTAACTGGCGTTCACTCGTCCGCTGGCCACACGCACTTCATATATTCCTTTATAAAACACCAAATTGACAACCGACATTCATTTATACACACCTTTTCGCAGTACAGGCCCACCAGCTGCTTCATTCGCCAGTGTGGGCCAGTAAAAACATCCACCTCGTCCGGAAAAGGGGCCATCTTTACACACTGAAGCTCAGTGCGTCATCTGCACAGTCGCAGATACAATCGAACTGGGAGACTGCGCGTGCGAGCAGCTCATGTGACCGCAGGTTATGAATATGGACGTGTTAGATTTCCTCCGCCTCCACCTGTTTATTTACTGCTGCACTGGGCAGGGATTCAAACATGCGAGCATGCACATATCACATATATCTCTTCCTTTCCAATCGCCCCATGTTGGTTTACATGTAAGTGTCTGCCTAGGGCCTACAATCCTACTTGAGGCAGGTGCGTCAATATAGACAGTGTAGGGGCCCATGGGACAAGGGGCCCTTACAGAGAGCAGGCCCTCCAACAGCATGATGGCCAGAGAACAGGCTCCTGTAACTCATTCAGACTGCCACCTCATTAATATACCTATCTTCCCAGAAGAACTAATGTTTACTGCAAATTTATTATGTTGATCTGTTCTGTACACACGACATCTATTGCACGTCTGTCCGTCCTGGAAGAAGGATCCCTCCTTAGTTGCTCTTCCTGAAGTTTCTTAAAGGGTTTTTATGGGGAGTTTGTCCTTATCTGCTGTGAGGGTCCATGCTGTCGTATTCTGTAAAGCTCTCTGAGGCAACTTGTGATTTGTGATACTGGGAATTAAAATCTAATTGAATTCTAATTGAACTGTTATAGATGTGGGCATAAATGCAAAACCATCTCCATCATAGTTTATTTCTTTTGTGTGAAAGAGTCAGTAGCAATCTACTACTCTCACTCAATTCATTTAATTAATCAATTTTATCTAGTACAATAAAGGACTATGTGTTTCTTAGAAATTAATATTATGTAGGCTATTTATTTTTTTGTCTAAGACTTCCTGTGAAAGTAGTTGGTTGGTTTGTGAATTAAATTTCAAGAACATTTTAACACAATGTTGTTTTCAAAAGATCATATTTGCCTACCATTAGCTATTGGCAGTGGTGACATTTAACTAAGTACATTTGTTAAGTGTACTTAAAGGTTATAATTACGCCCATTTTCAAAATGCATACATACATACATGTTATTCTAAAACAGCCCCAGGTGAATGTTCAGAGCATATGGGTACATTTTCCGTTTCAGAACTGCGAACACTTCAATGAAATAAAATAAAATCAGACTCCTATTCATTGTCTGTGGAGCAGCTGGAGGCTTTAAACAAGGGGCATAAATATAGATAGTGCAGGCATTGTGATTGCACTGGGGCCCCTGGGGTGGAGGGACCTGTAGAGCTGGCTCTTGCAAGTGATTCAGATTACCACCTTGGAAATATACCTGAGTACAAAGATAAATGATAAAAAGTATATATTATTAATTTAAAATGCCATTTGCTATACATGTCCTCAAAAAGGTAAACCTGGTTTTCTTTTTTTAAATATTCAGTAGCTAGTTAAAACAAAACTATGTGCTTTTTTCTATATAAGCAATAAAATCTATGAATATACTATAAAAACTATTCAATTAAATTATTAATTTCTTACTTTCTTTTGTGTTTTTGTCAGATATGCAATGATGATTTCTGGATAGAACGTATGTTGATCTTTATTTGTGTCAAGACATTACATGCACAATAGTGTGCACTAGGGCCCATCATAATAATGTGCACAGGGGCTTGTAGTAACTTCCTTATGCCACTGCTTTACACCCCATGACATCAAGAGTTTGAAACTTACTTCTCTGGTTTCTGACTTTTGAGAGAGTAGCTCAAATTCACAAATACTGATTGAACTTCCCTGAGCCATGGGAATTATATACTGGAATTCTTTATTTAGGTGATGATCCCCTTTAGCCCTTTGAAACCTGGAGCGACATCACTGTCTTTGAACTTTGAACCCTGAGCAAATTGGTGTGTCTTTCAAAAACATGGGGAAAAAGGCAATGAGCAGCTTGATAAGAAATGTCCCACAGATTGCAAAAAATAATAGGTTTAGAAAATGATTACAAAAAAATAGGGAGAAATTAAAAAAGCTAGGGAAAACTATATTTATAATTATTATTATCACATATTATATCATATTATATTTCATTTTGAAGCACTATTTCCAGGTCATTTCAGTGTTTGTTTCTTTCGTTTTGTTTTTTTTTTAAAATTGAATTTTCTCTTTTTACTAATTTCCTGCAAGTTTTTGGGTAATTTCTTCTTTAATTGCACATTGCCTTCTGACTGTGTTTTTGAAAACATTGACAGAAATCAAGCCACTTTGCTCAGGTTTAAAGGGTTAAGTAACTGATCTGATTACTTCTTCAACAACTCGGTAGTCTGCCATTCGCCATTAATAATTATTTAAGTAAAGTAAAGTTCTATGTTTCTGTCAAATTAATACCAAAACGTGACCTAAATCACAGATAAAGTGTCTCTGGTTGTCCTAAAACACGGTGCTAAAGTGTCAGCTGTCGCTACACTTCCACCATTGGCTTGTGGTTGCTATGGAAAATGTCCACAGCAACAGTGCCTTTGGGGGTGGGGCTTATGACAGTGAAAGATGATCGACAACTTCATCAACCAATTGACGATCGTGAAATCTGAAGGCGACCAATGAAATTGAGCAAACGAGAGCTGTAGTTAGATAGAGAGCGCGAGGACAGCAGCAAGTCAGAACCTCTGTGAGACAGCAGCGAAAAGACTAATGGTAAGTATTAGCCTCCTGATAGCATTTACATAACGCTGCCTATGGCGAGCTACGTTAATTTTATTACTCGGTGTTGTGTGCACTGACAGCGCATATATTTTATTTAGGGTGGTCTTGGTGTACTGTTTTCCCCGAGCTGCTATGTAACGGTAACGTTAGCTGTCTTGCTACTAGTTGTATTAGCATGTGTTGTCTGAGCATCACAGCCCGTCTGAGGCAAGAGATGCTTTTCTGTCTGACAACGCTCCATGACGGCGCTAACATTACTGTGTATTAACAAGACGACAAGCAATCAGGGTTACTGTACTTATGCAATATTACAAAGCCAGCGACATTAAATATTTAGTGTTATTATCAAAGCACCGGCTCGAGCTTTGTAATATGTTCCTCACTCTGTCCAGTCTTTGCAGATCCAGCATGAGGAGCCAGTCATTTCATTAACATGGACAAGTACGAAAAGGTGAAGAAAATTGGGGAAGGTTCATTCGGAAAGGCCATCCTTGTCAAATCCAAAGAGGATGGACACCAGTATGTCATCAAGGAGATTGGCATATCTGCAGTAAGCCCCCATGCATAATGTTACACAAGCTTCACATGCAGCTGTTAATGTGCACCCCCCTGTGCTACCTTGCTTCATCCCTCTCTCTGCTCCTTATTTTGACAGATGTCAAGTAAAGAGAGGCAGGAATCTCGAAAAGAGGTTGCTGTTCTTGCCAACATGAGTCACCCCAACATTGTCCAGTATAAGGAGTCTTTTGAAGGTATTCACACAATCCAAATATCTCAGCCATCAGTTGAGAGAACCACAGAGCTCATCTCTTACAATAATATCCAAAGCTAGGCCAAATATTACAACTCTGAAAGCCTTATGAAATTCTTTTTAGAGGGAGGCTGCCTATATATTGTGATGGACTACTGTGAGGGCGGAGACCTCTTCAAGAAGATCAACTCTCAGAAAGGAGCACTGTTCTCAGAAGAGCAAGTAAGACACTAATTCTCTTTTATGTCCATGAACAAGTGGATTGAACTGATTATATTTACTGGTGCTGTTTCATATCTTGTCCTCTCTGAAATGTATTAAGACTATTTTAGCATTTTATTTTTAATAACTAACTAGAATAACATTACATTGAAATACTGTCATGTTTTAAAAATATTTTACCAGTATTATATTTTGTTGTTTTGTTGATTTTATGAAGATACTGATGCTGTTATTATTTACTTGATAATGCTTCTGTTTTATTTCATCTCTTTGTGCAGCACTTTGGTCAGCCTTTGTTTATTTTAAATGTGCTCTATAAATAACTCTGACTTGACTTAAGTTGACACTGTAAAATGTGGGCTGACCTTCTTCTTCCTCTCCTAGATCTTGGATTGGTTTGTGCAGATTTGCCTGGCACTTAAGCACGTGCATGATCGAAAAATCCTCCACAGGGACATTAAATCACAGGTATTGCGTCATGCACCACAATACCTTCCCTCAGTGATTATAAGTTGTTTATTCATCACGTGTTGTCTTATTTACATGTCTTTTCATAATGTCTGCATAGAACATATTTTTGACAAAAGATGGGACTGTGCAGCTTGGAGACTTTGGAATTGCAAGGGTGCTGAACAGGTATGTAAAATGTCATCGAAATATATCTGAGAATAGAGTCTGGGAATAGTAAAGCATAATACATTTTCCATTTTCTTCTCTCATTTTCAGCACTGTAGAACTGGCAAGAACATGTATAGGCACACCGTATTACCTATCACCAGAGATCTGCGAGAATAAACCGTACAACAACAAAAGGTACTAACTTCATGTTGTGTCTCTCTCGTTGGTGGTTTACATGAATATTTAATAGTAATCCAGGGGACAAGTTCTGTTCCGCCAAATTGTGCCGGATTAGGTGGCGGCTTCTGGGTGATGTAAAGGTATCGTGTCTCCTCTTTATTGAGTGAACCTGCTTGTCTGCAGCTACAGCAGGAAGCAAATATTGATTTCCTATTTAACTATTTTAAGTATACATGTAATCTAATCCACTAGTTACAAACAGTGAAGTAAATTTAGCACTATCTTAATGTCTTGTGCTGTTTTCTCAGCAGTGAAACCTTTTTTTCTCTATTGAATGATAAAGAAAGGAAAAACATTGCAAGTGAATGAATGATCGTAAAGCTACCCCTGAACTTATCCCTGCCTGTCCATTTGTATGCTCTCTCCTCTCACTTTCCCTACTTTCCCTCCCTCTGCAGTGATATTTGGGCCCTTGGGTGTGTCCTTTATGAAATGTGCACTCTTAAGCATGCAGTAAGTATCCTACATGTGAGCTGTTTATTTATTAATGTGGATGTAATGTATGTTAAGCAGCGTTGCAGTGCTCACTCACATGCTTTGATCTCTTCCCTGTATGTTTCATGGTTG